AGCCTCTTCAGGCAGGTGTCTTCTTGCCTTTTCCCCGTCCCCTACTTCCACCGTCCACTCTAACTCCAAACCAAACATGGCTGGTCTGATAAACGATCGCGAGCTTATAACGTTAGCTTTCTCTAGTAAGACGCCTGCACTGCAGGCTAGGCTCATTCTGATTCTTGATATCGTAGAGTTTCCTCTTTAACAAAGGGCTTCTCGAAACTTCATGAGAGATATCTCCCAAAATTTCCGTTTATAACAAGACAGCGTCGACTAATAAATTTTCTAGATTTTAGTAAGAAACCATCGATGAGTTTGAAAGTTAAACAGCCTTTAAATAGTCGTAAGAGAAAAAGTTAAAAATGGATAGTGTTGCCTTACACCATTTGTTATCTGCATATCATTTCTAATTGAAACTTAAATAATCTCCTCATTTACCAACTGTTCGGAATCATCATACGTCTGACGCGTTTTCCGTGAATAATGATGATGAACTTCGGAATGATGATTACAGTATTGTTCTTACGGCCCTACAATTTTCTGTTTGCATTACCGTCACAAATAGTAATGTTTTTATTGGCACTGAGCAGATACGGTGAACACTTAAAAAGTTCTTTTAAAATTCCTAAATATCACGGGAGTATTCCCCTTTTGTTGTATGACCATAGACGATGGAAAAAAAACCATAATGATACTCGTTAATCAATCGGCTATCCTCTTCCCAACTTAAAAGGATCGAAAAATTAATTAAGGAAATCCTGAATAAGTATCGGTTCATTAAATCGATAGCATTATAAAGTATAACATAAATGGGCTTGTTCATGTTCGAACACTGACTTATATTATGGCGTTGATCATCTTCCAGTAACATATTTCTCTGAAGAGCCCGCGCTATTTGTTGAGATCACAACAAAACTTCAAGTGTGCAAGCAAGGGAGGTTTTCCAGTAGTTCCTTTCTTCGGCAGTTTTTACCATGCATATTGCAACCATAAGACTAGCACTATGTCTCTTCATTTGTTCCGATTTACGGCCTGCCAGCAGCCAAAAGCCCCGAATTGATTCGATTGATCAATCGGAATTAGTGCCCAAAGCCCGTCATATCAGGCAACATCGTCAAATTCGCCAAACGCTTTTTATTCTTGCAGAAAATGGCAACCTAATTTCCAATATTTATGTTGATATTGTTATTTGGAATTTTTTTCTTTTTAATGGCCTCTCCTGAAATTAACGAAACCTGTCCCAAATTCAGAATTTTTATGACTTATTTTGAATTGCCAATGAGATCCTGACGTAACAGAATTTAAGCATGAGAAGAAGTGGAAGTAGTGATAGTTCAATAATTTCTTGGCTTTGCCAAAGCCAGCTGAAAGCACATTTATTTGCTTGGCTCTGAATATTTCCCATAATGATAATTTATCATACTGCAGTATGTTTACTGATTCCCTTTTGAATATCTTTCATTAAAAGTCCATTTTCCCAATTTCTTAATCGAACATCGAAACGCGTTCGTCTTTTTAAATTTCGATGCAGCCCTTCGCCAGACTTTATCAATTGTGTTTAGAGTCCGCCTCTACTCTCTCCCCCACAGATAACGGTATAATAACATTCACTCAATCTGGCGTACAGTCCAGCACTCAAAATATTCTGTAGTGTTAGAAAAAAATTACATTGACGCGGTGTTTTGCTCACAATGAGGATTTATTTATAATCCTGGCATAGCCATCCTTGCAGATTTTGTAGAACACAAATTAATGTGCCAAAATTGCCGTTATGTTCTTCGACACACAAAAGCGGAGTCGAAGAAAAACCATACTTTATCAAAAGATCTCATCTAAAAAGAGCTAATGAAGGATTCTTTTTAAAATTATTATTTTCTAGCCCAAAATTTTGATTATCAAGCCCTTAAACTGCATCTGCCACAATTACAAATTTTGTTGGTCTGAAGATTCACAGTAAAGTTTTCTTTTTCACCACGTGTCAGTTTGGGAAAAAGGATCTACTTTTAAACTGAAGACGTAAAGTATTTTTCTAAAAGCCTTCTTGATGACACAGACCCTAACAAAAAACAGTTATTGCCAACCGCCAAGCGCAATTCAAAATTCATAACGTGTCCATCTTTCGAACTTCTTGATGGGAGGGAATCAAAATTTGTCAGTATGTTTGTAGCCGCCTTGTCTGTTTTTGGCTTAAGTGTCAGCTTTTAATTAGTAACTTTGATTATACTACTCCGCACTTACACTTACACTTGTTGGTGTAAATTCTGTAAGACACTAACTCAGATAACGGCACGCTGTGTGGTAATAGATACATCGTAATGGGGGGTTTTCGGAAATCGAGACAAAAAAAGCGTTCACTGAAGGTAGCTGGCTATAGCCAGGAGAGAATATCGCTACCTCAATGAAAACTCCAGAACTTTTTGTCCATAAAAAACTTCTTCGAGTCCTTTGAGAAGGTCAAAATCATATTTTCGTTCCATTCTTTTCAAGTGCACGATGTCTTCTTCGTGAATGTTCTCATGTAAATGTAATGGAAGTCATATTGAGATCTGGTCTTGCATTGCACCCATGCAGTATAAAACAACAAGCTTGCAAACAGATAACATATTATTCTGACTTTTGCATCTGTGGTTTTTTTGTTTATTTGTTTTTTTTT